ACTTTCCTTTTTTACTTCGTACAAGGAAGTAAAAATCTCTAATTTTTTTGCATGCATGCTTACAAGTACATCTACTTTAAGATGATGGTAAAACGTTTGTAGGTTATAATTCAAAACGTTTTTCGAAAAATTTATAAAATTTATTTTAAAATACAAATTTTGAAAATAAATCATAAAAAGTGGGCGAATTTTATTTAGAATGAACCTAAATTTCGAAATGCGAAAGCAAGAGTCAAAATAGTTTAATTAAAAAAAAAGATATTAATAAATAACAAATTAATTAACATGCGGGAGCTAAAATGTTGAGAGCTAATTTTTTTGAAACTACTCTTGCAATTTCTACAAAACTTGGCAATCTGGAATATTATGAGTCGCAGGAACAAAATATGAAAATAAATTGGTATGCTATTTCAGAAAACTTTCGATTTTGTATTTAAATACCTATGCTAGAATAATGTTATATATAAATCTAATATAAATCGTAGGTCGCGCTTTCGAGACTTTGAAAAATGCAAGTTGAATTTCGTTAATCGGCCCAGTAGAACGGGATATAGAAAAACAGTCCCCTTTTTTTTGCGCAGTGTGCTCGGTTTCGTGTTGGATGTATATCGGAAGAAAAGGAATCAAAGTGCGAAAGTCGTTTTTTAATTATAATCAAGAAAATACCATTTATTTATGGCATTTTGAGGAACTTTGAAATTTCGGGGTTAAACCCGTAACAGTCGAAGTGTTGGCAGTAGATGCTGAAAATTCTGATATGACCGCTCAAATCCTTTTAAAGAATTCCTGTGTTATTGGCTTAGAATCAGCAAACCTGCTGTAAATTAACAAATTTTCAAAGTAATTGGTTGCATGTCTGTTACATCAAAGTACTGGAAACGTTTTGGTTAAAAGATATCGCATATCAGACCAGAAATTTTATTTATGATTTGACTGCTATCGAATTTATTTATGCTGAATAAATATATCTAACGAGGTTGTAGTCTGAGGTAAAATGACAAAAGATAGACACTACATTTTGCAGATAATTCATATTGTGCATTTTGATTTAACTCTTTGAGGGTCAGGAAAGGGCAATTAACTTTTTCACCCAAACTCTTGTTTTGTTTACTATACCAGGTGTTGCAATGAAATTATTTGTGACAATTACACATATTTTAATCAAGAGGCGTGAAAAAAATGACCACTTCTGGTGGTTAATGTCAATGACCACCAACCACAGAACACATCCCTACAAATCAATCGCTACGGTACTCATGGAAGCAGTTTTCTTTATCAAGCAGAGTGTAACTTTGCATGTTCTGTATTCCCACACTGGACTTGCAGGGTTTTTCTTGGTGTTTCAAAATGCACATCGTCGTGATGTTGTCTTCGATGACTGATTCTTATTTTCTTGAAGATGAATTGCTGCATCAACTACTGGCTTATGTTTCTTGATTGCCATCTAGGCTTCTTGATGCTTCTTGATTCTCTTGTAATGTCATTACAAGGGAACTTCAGAAAGGGTCAGCTTTGGTTAAACAAATTAAATGAACTCAACAACTTCCTTAAAAAGAAAAATGTTAATCTAAATTCGAAATAAACTCATTACACTCAGAAACTTAAGAAATGATACTGAGATTAATGTATTGCTAAATCGCGGCTGCGTGAATGATGTTTCTTCCAGTTTCTATTTTTCTTCTCGAATGAAACATATATTTGCGTGTCAGCTAACATCTGAGCATTAATATAATGTCATTATGCCAACCACGCATTGTTACAGTGCGTCCACACCATACGTATTTCTTTCAATTAAAGAATTTAATTGGGCTTTATTTTATTTCCATTGGGTAAGATAAGAAGAATCAAAAACCTAATTTGTCTTCTAATCCAATGATGACTTATCCTACCCGATCGGCAGTAACGTCAGATCAGGTCTCTGCTATCAGAGCAAGAGCACGAAATTCGAAATTCATCGCAACAAGAAGTCAAGATTTCGCCTGTCGTTAGCAAGAGCCTTGAGCACCTTATAGGCGACAGTACGACTTTGGTCAGTTCCGCCCCCAATTTTGAAAAAGAGCACCTCGAAGCGACGAGGTCCGAGGGTCTCCGGCCCCTCTTCTCCTACCACTAACTTCTCGAGAGGACGTTCGGATCGCTGCATAGTTTGACGTCCACATGCCGCATAGACATTATACGTTTAGAAACAGCCATGCCTTCTCCAGGATTCGAAATCAGGCCCTTCGGCACTGCAGTCAATGTCTCTAACCACTGTCCCGGTTGGGTGGCAATCCAATAAATGATGTGCATTGATAAAAGGAAGCAGTATCTCATTTGAGAATAAGTTTATTTCAGCAGATGATTCATTAAAAAAATGCAAGTAATATCAAGCGTAAGTACTCTACGAAACCCACCGAAGATTCGAATTCTGTTGAAAGCACGTGTCTGTGCAAATGCTTCACGAATAAAAAGTTTTCAAAACTTATTTTATTGCGTAAATAAACTTATCAGGCATAAACACGTAATTTGTGCAGAAAATGCTTAAGTCAATGTTTTCGCTTAGTAAATACACGACAACGAAGCGTCCTGAACAGCGAAAAGTTTAATTTCCTTCGCAGTACTCAAGAAAATAATTTCACAAATTTATGGGAATTTTTCTATTCGTTTTGTCACAGCCTATCACAGAAATTAACACTAATGTTGCCGTTACGAACGAACCTATTGGAAAACATTTTATTTGCTACTTACTTTAAAATTTACTGTATTTACAGTAATCTTTCAATTAACTCTTTCATATGGAGAGGTTTTACGTAACAAAGATATTTTTGTTTTGAATTACTTCATAATCAATCAGTTCTTCATCACTTAGAGATTTCAGTTTGGTGTTTGTATGTCTTTTGAAGGGAGAGATCAGTTTACTTTTGAACCTAATAACAAATGCTTGCATGTAATCAAAAGCTTTCTGCAATTAAACGTTGAAAATGACACACATTGAGTGCAGAAAGCAGAGTTATATCCAGACTAACTTTTGAAATGAAGAAAGAAACATGCGTTTAATCGAATCAGAAAAAATTATCAGGCTGTAATTTTGTAGAATAGCTTTAAAAATTGGGCGTAAGAAAATTCGTTAAATCATGGTTCTTTAATTAAATGTGTGGTATTATTTTTGAATAGTTGGAAATTAAAAAAGAGGAAGCCTTATAATTTTTGGCTATCATCGATTTCGAACTAGCAACATATAACTTTTATTTACATTTCCTCATGTGTTAAATAAGTGGAAATAGATAATCTGTTAGAAAGTTAGCTTCAACAGATATTCCAGTCACAAAATAGCTATATGACACTTCAGTAATAAACCACAAGCTAAATGGGTGTAAGTATATTACACCTTATATTATTATTGTATAGTTTTACGAGGGAAATCAAATATTTGAATAAAAATATAAACGTAGCTTTTGAATAAAAGAATGTTCTTTTTAAATATATTTCTCTTTCGTATAACTAACACTATCCTGTTTAGTATATCAAAGTGGGGAAATTACATTCAACTTGACGGTAACAACAGCATTTGTATAAGCAAGTCACCAAATTTATTCTCTTCATCACACATAATGTAAAAATAGGCAAGGTTTTCACTAGTAAATTGTATTGGGTTGTTCGGAAAGTAATTTCGTTTTTTCCCGTCAGAGGACTTAATTACATTTTTCGAAACCAACTTCACACTTAAGCCGCATAACCATTATATGTCTTGAGAGCTGATATTACAAGGCTTGTGTGTGAAAAGGTTCTATTAATTCTACGCAGTAGTTTTTGGTTGGTGCCTTTTAAATATGGAGAGCAATAAGCAGCATTTTCGTCATATTTTACTTTTTTTACTTCAGAAAAGGTAAAAATGCTGTCCAAGCGAGAAAAAAATTGACGGATGTGTATGGAGAAGGCGTGTTAACAGTACGCCAGTGCCAGAACTGGTTTGCAAAGTTTCGATCCAGCAATTTTGATGTCGAAGTTGCATCACGGTCTGGAAGGACGGTCGAAGCTGACAAAGATGCGATAAAGGCATTAGCTGATGCAAATCGGCGTATAACCACACGAGAGATCGGTGAGAGGTTAAATTTGTCGAATTCGACTGTTTATGGCCACTTGAAAAGCCTGGGCTTAACCTCGAAGCTCGATGTGTGGGTGCCCCATGTTCTTACGGAGCGAAATTTGTGTCGTCGCGTTGACGTGTGTGATTCGCTCCTCAAACGTCAGGAAAATGATCCATTTTTGAAGCGGATTATTACTGGGGACGAAAAATGGGTCGTATACAACAATGTGAAACGCAAGAGATCATGGAGCAGAAAAGATGAACCGTCTCAAAGCGTTTCAAAAGCCAACATTCACCAAAAAAAGGTGATGCTGTCCGTTTGGTGGGATTTCAAAGGAATCGTTATTTTTTTAGCTTTTACCGGTCTACTGTCATCAGCTGGACAAATTGAATGATGCACTTAAACAGAAGAGACCAGAATTAACCAACAGGAAGGGTGTAGTGTTCCACCAGGATAATGCGAGACCTCATACAAGTTTTGCCACTCGCCAAAAGCTTTTACAGCTTGAATGGGACATACTGCAACACCCACCATATTCTCCAGATCTGGCGCCTTCCGATTATTATTTGTTCCGGTCCCTGCAAAATTTTTTGGATGGTAAAACCTTTACCTCAAATGAAGATGTCAAAAACCACCTGAATCAGTTTTTTGCCAGCAAGGACCAAAACTTTTATGAGCGGGGAATCATGTTACTGCCAGAAAGATGGCAAAAGGTGTTGGACCAGAATGGCGAATATATAATTTAATAATTATTCATTATACGAAAATTGTCTTTCATGTTCCCCAAAAAAAACGAAATTACTTTCCGAACAACCCAATATTTCCAACTTCTTCACTCGTACATTTCTTTAATTTCCTATTTTAACTTGAAGGGAAGTATAAAAAATAATGTTTTATATCATTGGTATCTAATTAACGTTTGACTCATTTCAGGTGGATGGCAATGTGTTCATGGTATACAACATGGGCACCGAAGATCACCCTATTGGTGAATTAAGTGTGAACGTGAACGATCATCAATACCACGTGGTTCGATTCACTCGATCAGGCCCCAATTCCACTATACAAATCGACGATCACAATGTCAGAACAAAACAACCAGCAGGTATTTCTCAAATTTTCTATTTTTCTTTTAAGAAAAATCGTATCCCCGTGTATTTCAGAATTAGGAGAGTTTTTTTCTATACTCCATGGTTACATTTGCCTTGCGTAGGTGGTAAATGGCGATTTGAAAATTTTTAATGATTCCATAAACTTCATTAACTATAAACTCATAATAGAAAAACTAAAAGCTTTGACAATTTATATTACGCTCTAAAGGGCACTTTTTAACGTTTTGTGGGTTACCTTTGTTAATAAAATATCATATTCTTCGTACTTAAACCACATAAAATTCAATTCAACAGCAATATCACAAATATTTAAAAACAGCATATCTTTACAATTTTTTATACACAGTCTCGTGAGCTGGAGATAAAAATGTTTTTTTTCTTTTATTATTATTATTATTTCCGTACAGTGTTGCCATTGCTCGCTTTGAAATCGTTGAGATTTTTAATCAAAAATTCGTTAAAATTGTACAAAATTTGAAATAGATAATAAAACAAATTCAAAATTCAGGCTTCCAAGCGCCCTTGTTTGGTTGGAGAACTACGTTATTCAAAACGATAACATTTGGTGGTAACAGTTTGAAAAGTGAACCAACGCAGAAAGTGACACGCCCCAAAATGCTGTTTTGAGACTAATAGCCCTTTGGGTCTAACGCCGCATATATATATATATTATATATATATATATGCGTTATATATGTAATAATAAAATTCCATAGTCAACAATACACTTAAAATTCTAACTGTATGTTCTTTTCAATTTTAATGGCGACGTTCTCTGATTTGAAAGTACGTGGAATTAAATCCACAGCCCTGAGGTCAAGTTGTTTTTCCCGCCTTTTGTACATGTACAGTTTTAGAATGTTCTGGAGATATTTAAAGCGAACTGGAATGGCTAACGAGGCTAACGTCATTTCTTGGAAGCTCCGCCTTTCCAGAGGCTATAAAAAGACTCGCAAAAGAATATCGGGGCTTTTACTTAAATGTCACGATGCAGTAAGCTTCATACAAAAAGTTATTAGTAATTCTTTTTTATTTACTCCGGAGATATGAATTTTGTAACTGCTATTTCTCCTGAATAATAATAAATGGATGCTGTTTTTTAAACTTATCGTCTGATTATTTAAGCTACGACTAAAGCTGATACATCACACATATATATATATATATATATATGTGTGTGTGTGTGTGTGTGTGTGTGTGTGTGTGTGTGTGTATGGGGCGTTAGATATACCCACACTGTTACTCGGCTCGGTTAGCTAATTTTTTTTTTTTTTTTAATTCTTATATGTTGGTAAATTGCACATTTCATGCTTTAAACATGATTGAATCATGTTGTTCGTATCTTTCGGTTAAGGGTTTTATGCGTTATTTAATCTGCATGCAATAGTTGTATAATTATCGACAATTTAAAAGTTCTTTATAAGTGCGGCTAAGCTTAATTTTTCTTAACTTAGCATTTTAGCAGTCAATATTAGCAGTCATATTTGTTTACATTTGAAACTCAAGAGAGCAGTGAATTAAGTCTTTTTGCACCTTCAGTGTCTTTTCGGCGTGTGGAACCAAAGGGAAACTTTTAGTTTTGTTTACTGAAAAATCTGCCTTCTTGCCGGCTGTCCGAATTGCTTGTTTTTGTGTAGAAACTCTAATTTTAATTGTAAAAATCGTTTTAACTGTATTTAATGTTTTATGTTTTTCTATGTCTTTCAATTTTTAATGAAGATATTTTGGGTTTTTATGTATTTTTGCCTTGCCGAGAAGTGAGAACTGAATTAATTGAATGAAAAATCTATCACAAGTGAAATTTGAGAAAATAAGTTTAAATCAAATTCAGGAAAAAATGCGTATAATTTAATGTTCCGTGCAAGGAAGTCATGTGGTGTGCACATAAGATTTTCTTAATAGATAAGCTTTAAAGTACTCGGAATCAGCTTTCTTTTCTTACTTTTCTTATGCAGTTCGACACCACAACTGGAACTTGAGAGTGATGGTTACGTAGTTCGAGTCTGTTCAATAAATCCACAGTCACACAATGTCCACAGTCTTAAATATTATGTTTTTGTTTCTTTAATCTTTATCTTACATCATTATTATTACTGTTATCTTCTTTTATTATTTATTTACTTTGCTTTTAAGAGAAGACAAAACTACGCCTAGTTTCTCAGGAAATATTCTATTCTTGGAGCACGTTTCTGAAATTAGATCAATCTATGTTTCAATTCCGCCATATTTTATATTTTATTCCTTAGTGTCCGTTTTTCCGTTCCTGAGCTATAGAAAATTCTTTTCTTTCGGAGTTCTTGGAAGCGCTTAAATTCCATGGTTAAAAGATACCGAAGTGGTCTGCCTTTCACTGAGTCCATCTCTTGGGATGAAAAGGAACGCAAAAAATGGTCCTTTCCTTCAACTGTATTTCTTTTTACGTACTGCAGAAAGCTGCCCTGGATAAACCCAAAGGAAAGCTTCTGTATCATATATTAGAATAGTAACCTTGGAATACTTTTGAGTGAGACGAAAATAAAATACATATAACCTTTATCCGATAGTAAGTCTTCCGAGTAAGAAAATGAATAGATTTATTTTTGGCTTGAAAAATTCCGCTGTGTATCTTAATAACCCCAAAGTTAGGTAGTGTATATCCTTTTAAGTTCTAGTGACTAGTTCTTCCTTAGTTTCATCTTTTACTGCCACGGAAAGTGAAGCACAGCTACGGGTAAACAAGTTAGACCAGCACATTTGTAGTACCGCTGGTAATTAAAATATTGTTAAACCTAGCTAACTTTTAAGCTTCCCCAGTTTTGAAGGAAAATACCCGAGAGAGGGCGCTCCCGAGAATCTCCCACCCCTTTTTTCCTACCCTCAACCTTTCGCTATATATTTTGAATACTCCCTTGCCACACAGACACTATACATTTAGAAACATCTGTGCCTTCTCCAGGATTCAAACACGGGCCCATTGGTACAGCAATCAGCGTCATTAACCACTATACCGCCCGGGCGGCAAATGGAAGCGCATTAAGATTCCCTCCGTCTTCGTATTAACTTGAAATTCTTGCTTTCCTCTACTTTGCATGATTTCATAAAGAGGAGGCAAAATTTAACACTGGGTCAATAGTTAATAACGAATTTACGACAGGTAGACAGATCTATCATAATTTTCAACAATTATAGTTTTCGAATTGCTGAAATTCCATGACATCATTAAACCCGGATTATATTACAAAATTTTATAAAAATTTCAACTTCGACTAGCAAACTACGCCTTGGTTCAAGTATCGTTGCAATTAAAAAATTATGTATAATTAGCCCAAAAGAGCAGTTTGCCCAGAAGAGGTATTAATTTCGTTTTGGGATTTTGCTTTGATTCCCTATAAACGGCGAATCACTTTTTAAATTGTTGCCACCAAATTTACAGCCCTGTATTACATTTAAATAAATTAAATGATGACGAATCTGCATTAATGTTTTTAAGTTTCTCGCATTGTGATAAAACAACGGTATCTAGAGACATCAAATTTTAAATAACGTACGTCTGCACCTGAATATGGGCACCTGGAAGCCGAAATTTGGAGTTTGGCATTTGTTTTATTATCTATTTCGTCTTTTGTAAAGTATTTAGAAGTTTTCCATTAAGAAACTCAACGATTTCAAACTAGCAAAATACGAAAAAAAAAATTTTTTCTATCTTTAGTGCACAAATGTATGTATTCGTCAAGGTGTGTGTGTGTGATTATGGCAAAGCCTCGAGGGCTATCTGCCTAAGGGGAGGGATGCCTTCGTGGAGGACTTTCTAAGGGAAACTGGCTCGTATACACGTTACACACGGGGAAAACCACGAAAACGCCCGTGCAGCCAGCCCGTTCGCGGGATTCGAACCTCGGACCGAACTACCAGTGTTCAGCGACTTTACCGCTCAGCCGCTGGTGGGATGTATTCGTCAAGGAGCGAACTCCTAAGATAATGAAATACGATTACAACCGCTCTCAGTTATTACTATAACGATCTGGACTTAAGTTGTAAGGATCCTAAGTTTTACTAACGTTTATTTTATTTTAAAACTGTTCTATCACTTCTTATTTTCTACTTCCGGCCAGAATTAAATGCTTTAACTTGTTTATGCAAATTGTCTTGCTAACGCCCAAGTACTTAAGCTGTGGCTTTTTTGCCAAGCGAGAGAGAGAAGGAGTTTTAGGGAAGCAAGCCGCTTGCCACTGTAGTTTTACGAGTTTTCACTAGGTTGCTGGTTGCCTTTAAGGCCAGAGGTTTAGCCCTCTTAATATTTGCAGACGTATCGTAGTTTCAGCAGCTCGGCGTACTACATACGTACGTTTTAAATAAAGCCAGTCTTAGTGCTAGGGATTTGTATACTAATTCAAAGTTAGCTTTTAGTTAGAGTTTTAGTTAGTAGTTTTATATTCTTAAGTTCAGACCACAAGTGGTTGGTCTCTGTATCCCGAAGTTCGAAGGTATTTGTAAAAGTATAGAAAATAAAGGGTTTCTTATACCCTTCCTGCTTGTGTCGTCTATTACACACAATCTGGAACAGAACTTTAGTAAGTTAACTGTTCTTATTCAGGACACATCATGTTTCCAAAGCAAATCAAGAGAAACACAAGTCCTGACAAAGGTATACTATTAATGCATATAGAATGATCTTAAGTGGATGAAACAGAAAGACGTTTATGATCCAAATCAACTATTATGCGAAAAAGAATTCAAGATATGCCGCCTATTAAATATAAATAAATAAACAAGAAACAAAATAGTTTTAAGTTATTCGCTGATAAAATTAAAAAAATATAGTTAATTAACCACAAATTAAAAAAACATATTGCGCAGAAGATGGTAATTGCTATTGCTTGATGCCATTGCCACTCGATTCCAAATAAATTTCTCTCGCCACATATACAAAATTTTGTTCAGTCGACAACTCCCAGCTGGATGGGAATTGGAATTGGTGTAAGTAATTGGAATTCTCTCGTGATGCAGTTTTAAGAAATGATCTGCTTTAAATACAGTGTTGTCAATTATGTTTTTTACCTATTTTAAATATAAATATTTTTAAAAAAAATTTTTTAATGTTTAAGCAGAAGGAAACAGTTCTATTTTTTGGCAGTTTATTGCAGTAATAAAGCAAATGTAGCATCTCATGTTCCATAAATAACATTTATCGTTTCACAGCACGAAATAGATGGAAATCATTTATGTAATGTAATTGAGAATGCTGTCATTTTTAACGTTTGTTTCACTGGATAATACGAAGGAATTATTTTAGGTAGCTGAATATATAAATACATTCATATAACGGTATTAAATAAAAGCATGAAGTGAAATGTATTTACATATTTACACTATTTTAAAAATCTGATGTGTACACCACATGACTTCCTTGTACGGAATATTAAATTATACACAATATTTCCTGCATTTCATTTAAACATATTTCATTATACAAGTAGATATATTTCTCATTCAATTAATTCAGTTCTCACTTCGCGACAAGGTAAAAATACATAAAACTTCAAAATATCTTTATTAAAAATTGAAAAATATAAACACCAAATACAATTAAAACAATTTTTACATTTCAAATTAGAGTTTCTATGCAAAAACAAGCAGTTCGACGACAGACCATACACACAGACAGACCTTGTTGTGGAGATTCTACTTCATGCTTTTTTATTGAAAACTCAATATTCAGTTTTGCGACCGAAAACATTATTTCTTTGCCTATATATATAGTTCTGCGAAAGGTAAAAAAAAAGTAATTTTTTTAAAAAATTATGTCAGTTATTGCATATAATCTGTTAGAATTTTCACATAGATCAAATGGAAAAAACGAAACGCTTAATGAAAATTAATAGTACTGCAGTTTACTAATATTATTAATTTTCATTGCTATTCATTGTACTGTATTAGAAAGTACTACAAAATATATATATATATATATATATATATATATATATATATATGTATGTATATGTAATAATAAAGTTCCATAGTCAAGAATATACTTAAAATTCTAACTGTATGTTCTTTTCATTTTTAATGGCGACGTTCTGTTATTTGAAAGTACGTGGAATTAAATCCACAGCTCCGTAGTCAAGTTGTTTTCCCCGCCTTTTCTACACGTACAGCTATAGAATGTTCTGGAAATATTTAAAGCGAAAAAGATTGGCTGACGAGGCTGACGTCATTTCTTGGAAGCTCCGCCTTTCCAGAGGCTATAAAAGGACTCGCAAAGGAATATCGGGGGCTTCTTCTTAAATGTCACGATGCAGTAAACTTCATACAAAAAGTTATTAGTAATTCTTTTTATTTACTCCGGATATCTGATTTTGTAACTGCTATTTCTCCTGAATAATAATAAATGTATCCTGTTTTTTAAACTTATCGTCTGATAATTTAAGCTACGACTACATTTATGATTCTTCATGAATCTATTTATTCCGGACAAAAGCTGGTACATCACATATAATATATATATATATATATATATATATATATGTCAACTTATTAGCATCTATTAATGTACATTTTTGAAAAAAAGATAAAAAATCCTAATATGGACACTACATAACTTCCTTGCACGGCCTATTAAATTTTACCCATTTTTTATGCTTTTCATTTAAAATTATTCCCCCGAATTTCATTAGAGATATGTTTCTCATTCATTTATTTCAATTTATGTTTCTCATTCATTTATTTCAATTATCACTTAGCAGCGAGGGAAAAATACATAAAAATTCGAAATATCTTCATTAAAAATTGTAAAACACAGAAAAACATAAAACATCAAATACAGTAAAAAGAGTTTTAAAAAAAAAATTACAATTCAAATTAGATTTTCTACTCAGAAACAAGCAATTCGGCCTAAGGGTAAGAAGGCAATGTTTCCGTGCACAAAACTGAGGATTTACATTTGGTGCTACTAGGCAAAAAGACAGTGAAGGAACAGAAACTGACTTATCACTATTCTACTAAGAGTTTCGAATGTAAACAAATGGAGACTTCCTTAGTCTTAGTATCACTTAAACAACTTTTAAATTTTTGTCAACTCTATAACTATTGCATGCAGATTAACTAAAGGCATAAAAAGCTCAACCGGAACATTAGAACAGCATAATTCAATCACTTTTAAAGCAAAAAATGAGCAATTTACCATTATATAAGAATAAAAAAACTCAGCTCACCGAGCCGGGTAAGAGTGGGTATACACTTTTGGTCCGACCATTTGCAAACAGGTGCAAAAGGGAGGTGCACAACTACATTTTATAGCAGTTTCATCTGCAAAAAATCAACGTTCTGAGGCTACTCGTTTTTGAGATATGCGGGATACATACATACGTACGTATGTACGTACAGTCGTCACGAAAGAATCCATTTTAAATCATTTTTTCAATACGTTTTGGGGAAAAGCGTCCTTTATTCTGTTCGTAGGTACACATGTCAGGCAAAAATAGCTTTCAAATGGGTTCTATGGCGGTCAAAATATATATTTCCGTTGCAATATGATATCCGAATTTTTTCTTGATTATAATACTTCATGTTAAGGCAGAATTGATCTGGCAACCACGATGAGAGAAAACGACAACGTGGTTAGCTAGCGGCCATTATTGTGCTTGATTGCGTGCTAGGAGGTGCACCTATGCGATGGCAAGAGTGTCCATCCAAACAAAAGTTAAAAGAAATAAAGCTACAGTCCATTAAATCTTGGTGTTTGTGTTTCATGAGTACTTATATTCTCGAACACTTCCTTTTACTAGTACAAGAAAGTAAAAATAATAGAAATCTATAATAAAACAATTGCATATTTAGTCCTTAGTTCACGTCTGTAAAATTCATCTTTTGTAGCTAATAGTAGTTTCGCCCAAAATATCTCTGCTCTTCAAAAAAATTAAAACTGTTTAATTGGACATGTCTGGAACACCAAGAAGGAAAGTAATAAGGAGGAACACAGTGGCGTAGCTAGGGTGGGGCAAGGGGGGCCATCTGTCCCCGGGCGCAGCATCCAGGGGGCGCCAAATTGATGGTACGAAATTTTAGAATAAAGTGTTTTCCATTCGTGGCAAACAGGAAGGGGCGCAAAATCTTTAGTTATCCCCGGGCGCTGAAAACCCTAGCTACGCCTCTGGAGGAACAGATACGTTTAATTTAAAGGATCAAAACTGTTGTCAAAGAGAAAATAAAGCTTTTATTATGTTTTGGTGATTTCTAACTGTGCTTTGAGAACAACTACCTGATTTCTGTGATTTCTTATTGTTCCAACAGGTCGTCAGCATACGATTTTCAACAGTCATTCCGTAATTCAAGTCGGTGGCAAATTCAATCCCATCAAAACTCGCATCGAACGTCCTTTCCAAGGAGTCATATCTGGCCTTGTCTTCGGGGGCCATCGTATTTTGGACATGGCAGCAGAAGGAGATCCGAGGGTCTCGGTGCAAGGTGATGTGGAACTCCTCATCTCAATACCACCGGATGGCGTTACAACGGGATCCTCGACCGATGCTGAAGGGGTAATATTTCTTATCGCCATTGCAGATTAGTGTTTGAGAGCAAGAAGGCACATAAAAAACGTAATATGTGGTCTGCTTCACATTCCGCCAAAGCACTAGCCTGTACTTTTTTTTTTAATCGTTATTTTATTTGTCTTTAAGTACGGTTAGCAAGCAGAGAGAAGAGAACTTAATTATTAAACTTTTTGAACGAAGATCAGCTTTCAAAAGCAAGAGTTGTCATTTCATAAACAAAATACTAAATTCAAATACTTAGCTATTCCGTTACAATTAAAGGAAAACGTTAGTTATTGAACATAATTAATTATGTTGCTGTTGTTTTGAATAATCTCGATTGTCTGGTATCAGAAAAAGACCACGAAATTCATCGTGGCAAATTCAAGTCGGTGGTGGTGGAAGACGGTGGTGGACCACGAAATTCATCGAGACAAGATTGCGCCTGTTGTTGGCAAGAGCCTCCGGCACCATAATAGGTAACAGTACGACTTTTCTCAGTTCCGCCCACAATTCTGAAGGTCTCCTACACCCTCTTTTCCTACCATCAACCTCTCGAGAGGACTTTCGTCTCACCGCATATTTTGAGTGCCCCATGCCGCACAAACACACATGCATTCTCCGGCATTTTTTTCGTACAGTGTTGCCATTGAAATCTTTGAGTCTGTTAACCAGAAATTCTTTAAAGGTTTACAAAATATGAAATAGGTAATAAAACAAATTCTAAATTTGGGCTTCCAGATGCCGATATTCGGGTGGAGGATCCCGTTATTCAAAATTTGATGTCTCTAAGGTCCCGTTGTTTTATCACAATTCCAGAAACATATATACATTTGTGTAGATTTTTCATTATTTAATTTCTTTAAATATAATACAGGGCGATGATATTGGAAGCAACAATTTGAAAAGTGATTCAACACATTTAAGTTTTTAACGCAAAATACCAAAACGAAATTAATAGCCGTTCGGGCTTTAAAATAAATAAATAAATAAATAAAAATCTGAAAGGTTTCAGATTTCTAAATTACGTCCAAAGGGGCGTTTTTCTAACATTTTTTCTGTTACCTTTATTTATTAAATATCATGTTATTCGCACTTAAATCATAAAATTCACTTCAAGAGATATATCGCAAAATAGTTTTAAATTGAGCATATCTTTAGAATTTCCGATACAGAGTTTCACGCGCTGGAGATTTTTTTTTTTTTTTTTTTTTTTTTTTTTTTTCACACCATACAACGTTGCCATGGCTCGCTTTGAAATCCTTGAGTTCGTTAATCAAAAATTCGTTAACGTTTTACAAAGTATTAAATCGATAATAAAACAAATTCCAAATTCGGGGTTCCGCATGCCCATATTCGCAGTAGGATTACGTCATTCAAAATTCGATGGCTCTGTATACAGTTGTATTATCACAATGCAAGAAATATACATACATTTATGCAGATTTTTCGTTATTTAATTTTTTCAAATATAATGCAGGACTCTAACTTTTGGTGGCAACAGTTTGAAAAGTGAAACGGACATTTATAATGAACAAACGCAAAATCGCAAAACGAAAACAATAGTACTTCAGGGACAAAGCCCCTTTGGACTTTTTTTTTTAAAGAAAAAAAATCAATTTTTTAACAGAAATTGCGTTTATTACCAACAAGATATATATCAATGTATCAGCAAAATTTTTTCACATATTGTTTTCGTCATCATTCATATATATAAGTAAACATTAAAAAATATATATGTATACAAAATTCTTTTAAATGAGTAAATTTGTAAAGCATAAATACTTCATCTTAGGAAGTAATTTTGAATAGTGCAACGACTAACAACTTTATCCAATTGTAGGAGTCGTCAAAAAGTGTTTATAATCTCGAAGTTCCACAGGAAGCTGTAAGTTTAAGCGCAGCTGGGTTGGCATTGTTATTAAAAATGCAAATATAATCTCAGAGGATCTGTAAGTACAAATACTATTTTATTACAAGAATCAGGCTACTGTGCATTCTTCTCAGAGGTGATGGGAAGCTAATAACGTGGGAAGGAACGCTATTTTCATATCCCAAGAATCTCATTATTTCTGCGTTGTTAAAATGTCCCTGAGGTGAATTAATAAGGGCACGGCTTCTGGAACCAACTAGCGCAATAAATGTCGTCGTGTAGGTTTCGCCCTCTGTTGACAAGAAGAGAAAACATTTTAAGGCGACTCATTTCTTTATAAGTTTGTATTTATATGAATGGGTATGTATTTATTTGAATGGGAACGTCATTTTCCGACTTTTTTTTTTTTTTTTTTTTTTTTTTTTTTTTTTTTGTGTGTGTGTATGTGTGAAGCTTTTCCTTCTTAATGGTAATTATGACAATTTGCTTTTGACATTTTTTTTAAGCCGAAAAGGGGCTTTTAGTCTTGAAATGTGATTTTGCGTCCAATATTATCGCCCAGAATTACGTTTAAAAAATTAAATAATGAATAAAATTAAACAATAAAGAATCTTCATGTATGTATGTATATTTCTTTCAGTTTGAGAAAAAGACGGCAGCTAGAGCCATCAGATTTTGAATAACGTAGTCCTTGCCCTGAACATGTACACCTGGAAGCTCGAATTTTGAATTTCGAATTTGTTTTATTAGCCCAAAACGAACGTTAGTGCCGAATGGGATATTAGTCCCGAAACGGACTTTTGCGTTGAATCACTATAAACGACATATCACTTTTCAAATTGTTGCCACCAAATTTGATCGCCCTGTATTATATTTAAAGAAATTAAGTAATGAAGACTCTGCATGCATGTGTATGTAGGTTTCTTGCGTTGTTGAAAAAACAACAGTTAAAGCCATCCGATTTTGAACAACGTAGTCCTCCATCCGAACATGGCCATCTGGAAGTTCGAATTTTGAATTTCGAATTTATTTTATTATCTGTTTCATATTCTATAAAACCTTAACGAATTTTTTATTAACAAACTCAACGATCTCCAAACAGAAACTGTGATGTTGTGCAGTTTGTCTTTAGCGCGCGAGACTGTCTATCGAAAATGCTCAAGATAACCTGATTTTTAAATATTTTGTGATTTTGCTGTTCAATGGAATTTTATGTGAGGTAAGGGCCAAAAACCTGATATTTAATGAAAAGAATAAACACACAAATCGTTAATTATAAAAAAGAGAAAATAATGTAAAGCCATCTTAACAAGAAAACTGAACATTCAGCTGATGAACTAAGAAAAGACTAAAAAAAAACAAAAAAAAAAAAAAAAAAAAAAATGTATGCTAACACTTAATGTTGCACCAGAACTTCTAAACGAATACTGCTGTGCTACTTTTACATTTTTCGTAATTTTGCTGTTGAATAGTATACGACGTAAGAGCGAAGAAAATGATGCTCAGTAATAAAGCTAAAAAGACAAAAAAATATAAGTGAATATAACAGTAGACTGGTCGACTACGAGCTCAGTGAGAGCCTAAAAAACCTTAACAAACCCTCTTGGACGACTGTTAAAATGTGAAACCTTTCAAATTTTTTTCATTTATTTTATAATTTCTAAAACATTAACGAATTTTTGATTTAAACACTCTACGATTTGAAAGCTAGCAGTTGCAACACAGTATGGAATGAAGCATTTTTATCTCCAGCGCGCGAGACTGTCTATCTTTAATTCTAAAACTTATAAAAAGACCCTAAAAAAATTTTTATCCACCTTACTAAGAAAATTGAACATTGATATGATAAACTGCCAAAAGTCCTTAAAAAATATTAAAATGTATGCCAATACTTCACGATATATCGGGAATTCTAAACATTTGCTGCTAAACTGTTAATTTTTTTTTTATTATTATTATTATTGTTGTGGAACTGTATGTAGCATAACTGCGAGGAAAACGATGTTTAATGATAAAGCTAAAAAGCCAAAAAGGAAAAAAAGTGGGTTAGCTGAAGTTAAGTCTAATAGCAGACTGGTAGACTGTATTCTTAGCGAGAAAGTAAAAAGCCTTAATAAACCATTTCGGGACCCCGTTTAAATCTGAAAGCTTTGAGATTTTTGTAATTGCAATTGTTAAGCTTAACAATCATCTAGATGAATGATTTTCCAATCTGTTAGAGCAATAGAAAAAAATTATTTTTATTCTATAATAGTAATTTATGTAATAGTAATTAATTTAATTTAAGTGTAATTAATTATAATAGAAATTAATTTTAATTTAAGTGTTCATTCATTTTATAGTGCATATGTGTTCATTTTAATCCTTTTAAAGTTCATAAGCGTTATGGCATTCATTTCAAAGAATTTTTCATTAACATCTACTTTTAAATATGAATAAATAAAGCAGGCAAAACGCTACGAGTTTATTGAAAACTTTTTCAAATGTACCTAGTTTTTGTTCTTTTCAAGACTGTTTTATTCAATATCACAAATCAATTAACTTCTAAAATGAAAATGATTGAAGCTTTAAAGAATGATACTCAAGAACTATTGAAAAATTGTAACTAAATTTTTCATTTGAAAAGTTCAATAATTCGAAATTCTAAATTTTTAAAAAAATGTTTCACTTACCTTTTCCCCCCCCCAAGGTTTTTTCCACGCTAAGCTTAAAGAGGTAGAAATCCGTGAAGCAGTTAAGACTAATTTCTGTAGAAAAAGCTTTTATTTCTCATAATTGTTACTAAGAATATGAAAACAAACAAATCACAGACGATACTAAAAGAATTACAGTTGACGTCATTTGGCTTTTTTTTAAAACTGAACTGCTGTTGCCAATGTTAATAAACAAAATTGTCTATTCTTTTTGTTTGTGTTAAAGCCATTTTCGGTAAGTATCGAAATACGTATTAATTTCATTACTGATCAAAAATATAATAACGAAGTAAAAAAATAGACAAGACAGTAATAAATTCTAAACCGAAGCAAATTTGAGCTTCAATCATGTAAAAATACTGGAATGTTTCTCTCAATACTATAAAATAATTACTTTTCGTTTGTTCTTAATAATTCATTGTATCATTCAATTATTTTATTTATTATTCTGCTTTTTCATTATTTTGTTTTGATACACTCATATTATTACACAGACATATATATATAACGCTAAATTTGGCACAACTTTTACCGTATTACGTTTAAGCAATAAAATCACTGAATCACTTTGTCAGTTAGAAAATAGAAATAAAACTTTCTTTCGGTTATGTATAAAATAAATCTATATTAAGCTTGGATATAAAATGATCTCATTTATATATAACACTTTTAAACTAGCCTTGACCGCATCTGACATTAGGAGCTAATCTATAAAAGAATTTACTTGAATTTAGATGGAGAATTAATCCTCTTGTTACGTCATTTATTAACAATCGAACATTAGTTGTTTCACAAAGAAACATTAAATCTGATATACGCCAAATTAGGGCAGGTGTGCCATACGGTTTGATTCTTGGACATAACATATTTATTCTAAGCGGCAAACTTTCCCGCAAACCGGCTTAAATCAAAATTAATGCTTAGGATTTTATGCTGACTGCTTTGGCTGTGAGATGAACAAATACTAATCATGCTAATAAAAATCTTCAAGATCAAACTCCTAGCATCGAACCTTAATGTAAAAAAAGGCGCATATAAATATAAATGTACATAAATCTCAGTTACTGTCATCAGGACGAAATGTCTTAACATAAAGCACTAAAATCTGGACCTTTAAATGCCTTTTAATCTTTTTAAACTATACAATGTTTAACGAGAGCAGACACCTCTGGCTTTTTGAAGCGCATGTTTTCAACAACTATTTTACAACATAATTTTATTTTCTGCACACTTTCTTCTAATTAATAGCTCAAAATGCGTTGGCACAGAAAGGCTGTTATTTTTTGGGGGGGAGGGAATTTTGTGGCGTTTCTCCATAATTAGCGTTTCCCTTTTCAAATTGTTGCCACCAATTTTATCGACCTGTGTTATATTTAAAGAAATTAAATAATAAAGAATCTGCATAAATGTAAGTATGTTTCTTGCATTGTGATAAAACAACGGTATCTAGAGCCATCAAATTTTGAATGACGTAATCCTCCTATGAATCTGGGCATGTATGTGGAAGATCAAATTTGAAATTTATAATTTGTTTTATGATCGATTTCATATTTGGTAAAATATTTATGAGTTTTTGATTACGAAATTCGATGATTTCAAAGCAGCAATGGCAACACTGTACGGAAAATAAATAAATAAAAACATTTTATCTCCAGCGTGCGAAGCTGTGTATCGGAAATTCTAAAAATATCCTCTTTTTAAATGTTTTGTAACATTCCTGTTGAATGGAATTTTATGGTTTAAGTGCGAAGAACATGATATTTAATAAATAAATGTAAAACACAGAACTTTAAAAGAAGGCCCATTTTGGCGTAATATAAAAACTGAAATCCTTCAGATTTTTTTTTTAAATATATTTCACTGTTTTTCTTTGTATTCATGTGTGATATTTTTGTGTAAATGGGTTTTTTTATCTTGTATTGTCTTCCTAGCATTTCTTTGTCATTATATAAAATTGTTGAACGTATTTTGCCTATATTCACGCAGCAAATTGTATGTGTTCAACATTCTCTCTGAACCTTCTTTATTTATAGTAGATGGCAACTCAACACAAACCAGTCCATATATTTTAGCCATGTTTAGTTTTTTAAGACCGTCATTTTTCAAAGAAATCTTCCAGATTTTTTATGGTATAAAAGGAATTGTTTGAAAAGAAATTTCTATGGTATTTTTTGGCTGTATGCTAATATCCTTATTCTATAATCCCGCGAACGGGCTGGCTGCATGGGTGTTTTCGTGGTTTTCCCCATGTGTAGCGTGTATACGAGTCAGTTTCCCTTAGAAAGTCCTCCACGAAGGCATCCCTCCTCTTAGGCAGATAGCCCTAGTGTGCTTTGCCATAATTAAATACAACAACAACAACCTTATTCTATATTAGTTTTAAATTTTTACCTTGAAATCTTGCCTAAAATCAAACGGCGAATTCTAGGTGTGCCCAGACCGGGCTCACCGATCATCTAGGACAACTAAGAGTCTGTATTCTTTGTTTCTCCGCATCTCATCGGTCAGTTCATTGACAATAATGCTCGTTTCAGCACTCTTTTCGAAGCTCTATTCAATCAGTGTGCCGCTTTGGGCACACCCACAGAATTAAAACGATAAGTGCTATCTTTACAAAATTTTACTTAGGCCTAATTAGACTGGCTACCTTTTTTTTATGAAAACTCCTACTTTAAAAGGTAGCGTTCCGGAAAGGGTTAACTCTCGGCAATCTCAAAATATCTTCATTAAAAATTGAAAAATATAGAAAAACATAAAACACAAGTACAGTTAAAACAATCAAAAAGGCAATTTTAACAACTAAAATTAGAATTTCTATGCAGAAACAAGCAATTCTGCCAGCCGGCAAGAAAGCAGATTTTTCGGTGCACCAAACTGAAAGTTTATTTTTGGTCCCACTTTGCAAAAAGACACTGAAGTTGCAGAAACTGACTTAATTCACTATTCTACTGTTTCAAATGTAAGCCAAAATGGCTGCTTTTGTAAAAAATTAGGCTTAGCCCCACTTAAACAACTTTTAAATTGTTGATAATTCTACAACTATTGCATGCAGATTAGCTAAAGGCATAAAAACCTTAATCGGAAGGTAAGAACAATGGTAATTCAATCAGAGCAAAAAATACACAATTTAGCAACATACGAGATTTTAAAAAAACTGAACTCAAGCAGACGAGTAACAGAGCGGGTATATTTATATACTTTTGGTGCGACCGATTGCATCCAAAACGTGAGGGCCACAACTACATGTTATAGTAGTCCTATATACAAAATTTCAACATTTGGAAGCTTTTCGTTTTTGAGTTATGCGAGCTACATACGTACAGACGTCACGAAATAATCTATTCTGAATCCAATTTAAATCCTTTCTGTAACACGTTTTGAGATAAAGAGTCCTTTATGCGGTCCTTGCGTACAATTGTCACGCAAAAACATCGTTAAATTGCATTCGAAGGAGGTCAAAATGGATATTTTCTTTGAAATATGATGCCCGAAAATTTTCGACATTACAATACTTACTTTACTTCGTACAAGGAATTAAAAAAAAATCATCAAATGACCTATATGTACTACACCTTGAGATAAAATGTAACCAAATACATTTCCTTTTAACCTGCTAACTAATGATTGATAGATAGATTTAACACTTGTATGATGACGCTGTCTGAAACTAATACATCGCCATCATACAACGAACGACATTTGCTTTAAGGGCAGTTAAAAGTAAATTACGCTTTACAAGGGCATTTACATTATGCATTAAGGGCAGTTACACAGAAATTTCATGTACTAAGTAAACATGTTTACATTTTTCCTTTTCATTTTATTGTATGCATTCCTAGCTAAAAATTTTAAAAAATGTATTCGCATCCGTTTTTCAAATTAAATTGTAAATTTAAATGCTTTAAAATTGTGAGATTATGTATCTAGTTTCAAAAGAAGCACTTTATGTATGTTTATATCAGAGCAGGACGTTTTTAAATATAATCACCATTCTAATGTTAGCATATATATTTAAATTTGAATATACTTTCTGGAAAAGAATTTTGACAGAAAAGTTCCCGCTTTATAGTCAAACCGATGCAATATAATTGACAAAGTTTGGGACTCTCTGACGGGGATTTATTGAGTATTATTTTGTTTGATGGTTCCCACGAAATTTTGGAATCCGAGGTATCTTTCTCGAAACTCATCTTCCTGCCGTTCTGGAGGTGATGTTACAAACAAACAAACAATATTACAAACAAACAAACAAGCAGACAAACGCTCACAGATTTTAATGGTACAGATTTCCATCTGCACTTTCGAACAAAACCATCTGATGAATGCAACTAATCCTGCTACAAAGTAAACAGCAACCGATATAGGATAAAGGCTCTCCCTTGTGTGACTTTCAAGCAGATCAAAGAAGTTATTTTCAGATGTATCGGTCTAAGATTTAAATGATTTAGATATTAAAATAAGAGATGCCTCAGCAACTAATGCAGACCTTTGGTGCATTTCAACTGAAACTAAAAACAGATGGTTTCCTGGAAACTAAAATAACAAGTTGTGTAACCAAAATATCTTAACTAGTTTCTTTAATTCTTTATGTTATTTGTTAATTCAATGGCAACTGGCAACTGTATTTCAGAAATCTACTACTCCTGAACCAGTTGAACCAACGGAAGAAGTCGTTTTTTCTGGAGCTGGATCCGGTTGCTGGGATGACGAAGACGCCTGCGAATCCTCAAACAATGAAAAACGTGAGTTAATTATGTGTTAGGAACTAAGTTATGATTTCTGTTTTCCTATTAAGTGAGTTATTCATAAATGAATGAACATCAGCTCCGACTTCGTGACCGTCTTCAATTATACTGACTTTAATATATATAACTCTTCTTTTTCTCAACCTAAACTTTTATAGATCAGAAAACAGATGGGATCATAAACTTTGTGTGTGATGAAACTTAAAGTAGTTTTTTTTTTCATACATTTCCAACATTTTATTCATTTCAAGAAAGGTTTTTCATACATTTTCCATACCTATATAAAGTGTTCTAAGACTACACAGTCAAATACTAAGGTACAATCTGGCTCAAATAACCTACCGACGCATAGTTTAAATAATGGGTTGCGAAAGAAAATAATTCTGAGGTAATACCTCTTAGATAGAGTTGGCAGAATTCTAACAACACTACAACGAGTGGCAGAAAACCCACTCTCTCTCCTTCACTAAGATTCAAAAGCTCCCACTTTTAAACAGACTACAAGAGTACCAGAAAAGCCACTCCCTCTCTCATTTTAAATACACTACACGAGTGCCAGAAAACTCTCTCTCTCTCTCTCACTAAGCTCCAAAACACTTAAGTTTAGTAAATGCACTATACCAGTGGCGTAAATAAGGGTATGCAAGGAATGCAGTCGCATAGGGGCCCGAAGGCTTAGGGGGCCCATGAATGTCCTACTGAACTACATTTACATATTTAAACTTAAAACACGTATAACAATCATGTATTCGAGTAGTTTAGTGTACCAAAAGGTTTTCTTGAAAGAAAGGGGGGAACTTTACCATACATATTTTCCACAAAAATTGTATGTTCAAATAGATTTCTTTATGAAATTTATAAATATGTTTGATATTTAACAAATGTATCATTTACGTTATAAAAGTTCTATTTATGACTTGTATATATTGCATAAGTCATGTCGTAAGCCAGTTGATACAGAGTGCTATATATTAGTGTAATTTCTTTTTTGTATGTTTACCTATCATGTTGTCTGTCAGTTTATAACATAACCAGTTATTTACTAGCTTGCTATATTAAGCGAAAAAAAACTTGGATTGGCGCAGATTTTATATAGAAACTCGAAATATACTTGCATGTAAAACTACTGTATTTTATTTAAAAATCTCGGAAAATCTAGACTCTCTTTCCTCCTTTTTCTAAGCACAGTAAATTTATTTTTGGGGGGACAGGAAAATGTTTTGCACAGGGGCCCAAGAGTTCTAGCTACTCCACTGCACTACACGAGTACCAGAAAACTTTACATACACTACACGAATGACAGGAAACTCACTCTCTGTTTGACTAAAACTAAGGTCCAAATACCCTCAGTTTAAATACACTACATAAGTGCCAGAAACCTCACTCTCTCTATCGCTAAGTTACAAAAGTTTTAAATACACTACACGAGTGCCAAAAATCTCACTCTCACTCACAGTTTAAATACACTACACGAGTGCCAGAAAAGTCACTCCCTCTCTCAGTATAAATACACTAGTGCTAGGAAACTCACTCTCTCTCTGTCACTGAGGTCCAAAAGACCTCAGTTTAAATACGCTGCAGGAGTGCGGAAACTCGTTCTCTTTCTCAGTTTAAATACACTACACGAATGCCAGAAAACTCAATCTCTCTCTCACTGATACTAAGGTCCGAAAGACTCAGTTTAAATACCCTACACGAGTGCCAGAAAGCTCTCTCTCTCTCTCTCTCTCTCTCTCAGTTTAAATACACTATACGAGTGCCAGAAAACTCGCTCTTAGTTTAAATGCACTACACGAGTACCAGGAAACTCATTCTCTATCACTGATACTAAGATCTGAAAGACCTCAGTTTAAATACCCTACACGACTGTGGTGTTGCTGGCCGTGATCGTATTAAAGTAATTATACTAAGAGTATCAAATGCGAATTAATTCCGCGTAAAAGTTAAACTAAAAATTTAGTGGTTAGTACATTGCATGATTATTAATAATAAGAATTCAAATGACGACTTACCAGTAGCATGCATGATCAGTATCTCTCTTTTAAATATAATTTTAAATGACAAAAAAAAACATTTCTTGATTCTAGAAAATCCAAAACCACAACTTTCTTGATAGCTATATTCGATATGTTAAGGAAAAAAAACATTCATGAATGCCTTCGGCATGTGCTACTCGTTAGTCCTACACAGCGTTCATTTTTTACGGTATGTCAACAGCGTTCTTTTTACGGTTTATTGCAATTCCTAATCTTGAGCATCACAGGTACATTACTTATCGATCTTGCAGAAGTTAATTAGAGCAGTGCATTCTCGTGATAGAAGAGATCAATTTTGGAGATAGGTGAAATTGGCGCACAGTCGTCACTCGAAACATCCAATTGTCGGATTCTACCGTTGAGTACAGAACGGGAACAATTTACCTCGCAGCCCTCAGTAAAGTTCCTGATTCTTATATTCTTCGTACAAGACATATTTTTCCTCCATCCTTGAAATGGACATCAGTTCGAGTACCGTGGACGATGCGAGAGCTGTATGTGTGTGTGTGTGTAGCCCGAAGGCCACACACACTCCGAACCGACCGACAGGCAGAAGAGAGAGACAAACAGTCCTTCCAGTTTTTTATCACTGCGATGAGTGCAGGGCGCGATAACGATTTAACAATCGATACAGCCACCGTGTTCACTGTGAGAATTCTGTGTTCTCACAACGACCAAGGAAACTTTCTTTCTCTCACTGATACTAAGGTCTGAAAGACCTCAGTTTAAATACCCTACACGACCAAGGAAACTTTCTTTCTCTCACTAAGACCAAGATTCAAAAGCTCTCAGTTTAAATACACTACATGAATGCCAGAAAACTCATTCTCTCTCTCTCTCATTAAGACTAAGATCCAAAATCCCTTAGTTTAAATACACTATAAGCTAATTTGTCTGCTGGTGAAGATACGGAAATATATCAAATTAAAGATCAAAATCATAGTAACTATTTGTTTTAACATAAGAACTGTATAATCTTAACTGAAGAAATCCATTAAGGTACCAAATGCATTCCGTCACAGTCAAGAGGTTTGTCAAAATATTGTGTGATAGGTGCATCTCATTACCGACGCTTCAAAGAAATTATCCATTTTTGAATCCCATTGTCAGTTGTGACGGAATCTGGATCCTATCCCAAAACATGATTAGGAAACATTAAATTTTTATCCTGTTATATGCTACTATTATTCGCTTTCAAAAGTTAAGTATCTATAGGATGTAAAAAGAAATATTTTCTTGAAACTTTTAAAATCTAATAAAACCTTCTTTATTAGTCATTACTAGCGAAAGTACCCGATGCCAGTTGAGTTAGATTAAGAGTAATGCGTCTAACAACAGAGAGAACGATACCGCTGTAATCCTTTAATACCAATGCAAAAAAATACGATTCATAGTCATACATTTTTCAGTCTGATGCGATATGGAACCCACATGAAAAATTTCGATAGAACTAATTCTCTCTCATTATAGACTAGAAGAGAAACACGCTAATGTGACAATCAAAACCGTAAAAAACAACCTTATATTTAGCGTAGGTATAATGAAACACTCAATCGATTTCGAGGGCAGCTAAAGGTCCCTCCTCATCAGGAGAAAGAAATACATAGAAAGAAGAAAATAGGAATCACAGAAACACGTGGTGCTTATCAGCACTGCATGTGGATATAACTAGATTTTTAATCAGAGTTGCATGGCCGCCTACTTTAATGAGAAGGCTGTCTGATCAAGCATAAAGAAATATTAGCGAAGTTAAAATAGGGAGCGAGGGGCAAATGCATCCTATTTAACTTCGCTAATATTTCTTTATGCTTGATCAGACAGCCTGGCTCAGTAAAAGTAGGCGGCCAGTGCAACTCTGATTAAAATCTAGTTATATCCACATGCAGTGCTGATAAGCACCACGTGTTTCTGTGATTCCTATTTTCTTTTCTATGTATTTCTTTCTCCTGATGAGGAGGGACCTTTAGCTGCCCTCGAAATCGATTGAGTGTTTCATTATACTACGCTAAATATAAGTTGTTTTTTACGGTTTTGATTGTCAATTAGCGTGTTCTCTTCAGTCTAGTTTATGCTATCAACGGGATTTTCGAGAATATTTACTTGTTATGTTTTACCACGTGCACCATTTTATTTACTTCTTTCCACGTGGCCATCATTTTTTCGGATTTGGTTTATGCTATCAACCGGCATTTTCGAGGTAATTCTATATTTTTCGGTTACCACGTGCACGATTTTGACTTTCGTTGCTCTTTCACGTGGCTATTGGTTTTTCAGTATTGGATGTTTCTCTCCTTTTGGAATGTTTTTGTCATTGTTGATGAAAATTGTCTTCATTATTTATTGGTTTTTTCATGTTATAAGTAATTACTGTTTGGACTTCGGAATTACATTTTTTGTTCACTTGTTTCTTGCTTGTGCCCTTTTCACAATATGTCCACTGACAGGAACCGATTTTGTAAGTTACGCCTTAAAGCGTACGAAATTCTTGAATCATCTACAGTTTCTACTTAAATGCAAACATCAAATTTCATTCCCCAAATTTATACATGTGAAATGTAGCCTTAAAGCTTCCGTTCACGTTTCAAAAATTTTGCATAAATTCAAATGGGCACTCTTCGTCACATTATAAGGGACAACGCAAAACGTTTATCTAAAATTGAATTTGAATTATATACCTCCATTTAAAAATTGCTAATTCCACTGAAAATTTTCCTCATTTGAACATACATCCTGGTCTAGAACCGATAAACCGTTGTCAACGGCATAAAAATGTGCTCATTTCTAAATTCCAAAAACTCACACACCTGTCGGATAGTCCCAATTATCTAGCTGATCTTCCCACTGTAAACGTTAACTCCATCGTTAATATCTCCACTAGGAATCTTTTCGGAGGATCAGTTAAAAGTATTAAAATATAATTTCAACTTTTCAAAGACATCTAAACCTTCAATTCCTCAAATCATCGCCCCTATAGAGAAAGCCTTTAAATCTCCAAAAAATTTCGGAAACGCAGAAGGTACAATCCGCCACCTAATTACTCATAACGTTAATTTTAACAATAAATCTTGGGTTCTAATCTTAGCAAAAAGGAAAATGAGATCTTACGTGAAATTAATTTGATACTAATTCATTATCTTAAAGCTGATAAGGGCGGACAGATCGTTGTTATGGACAAACACACATATTTACTGGAGTCTCTAAATTGATAAATGAAGGCCCATACTGCTCGATCCCTAAAGATCCTTCAACTTCGGACTCATGAAAGTAAAAGTGTGCTATTAAATCTTCCCACATTCTGCCAATTCAGTGAAGAAATCACTTATTCCGCCTATACTAATTGCGCTAGACTTTATGCTCTTCCAAAAAGTCCACAAAACCGGTATTCCTTTTCGACCAATTGTTTCCAACATAGGTACTGCTTCATATCCTTTGGCCAAATATTTAGTTTCCAGATTTTCTCCTCTACTGATAACAATATTCACACTGTAAAAAATTCTGTTGAAGTCATTGATAACTTAAAAATATTCCCCACTTCGTTCCATATGGTTTCATTTGATGTCAAATCATTGTTTACTAATGTTCCGGTCGAAGGAGCACTAATTGTCTTGAAACTAGGCTTCGGGAATTTCAACTTCACACATACTGAAATTAATGAGTTGGTTTCGCTTACTAAAAGTTTCTCTAAGTCAAACCCACTTTGTTTTCCAAAATGCATATTTTCGTCAAGTTGAAGGATGGCTATGGGTAATCCTCTCAGTCCGGTACTTGCTGACATTTATATGCACTATTTTGAGATGAAATTATTCGATAAATTATCTTTTCGTCTTTGGATTCGGTATATGTTGACGACACTTCGCACTTTTTGACGGTTATAAAGAGGATTTATCCGAGATTCTATCTATTATGAATTCAATTGATCCAGCCATCCAATTCACTCTTGAAATTGAATCAACAATTCCCTCCCCTTCCTCGATATTCTTATAATCCGCAATGAAACGATTTTCGACCACTGTGTACCGTAAACCCTTTGCAGTTTGTTTTACCACCCCATGCCAAGTCATGCCACCCCCTGTTAAGCAAAAAATGGCTTCTTTTTACATTATGTTTTCCGCGCGCTAAAAGTTGTTCCTCTGAATCTTTGCTTACCAATGAACTTAATTATTTGAGAGCAGTTGCGATTGACCGTGGATTTTCTCCGTGATTATTGATAAAGCCGTCAAAAAATTTTCAGATTCCCATCAAAGAAGACATTCCACTGTTAGAAATAATATCAATGACCTTGTCGTGCTTCCATTTTATCCTTCTGTTAGCTATAAAAATTGCACGGATTCTCCAGAGAAAATTCAATTTTCAAGTCGGTTTCTCTCCCTATTATAAAATTCACCCTTCGATTCTAAAAGATTGCGTTTCTGTCTTGAATTCTTGGGGAATTTATAGTATATCATGTCAGTGTGGTTTAAGATATATTGGCCAAACAAAAAGACGTTGAAGTTTGTATCAAGGAATGAATCTTATGTCAAAAAAAGGGGGGAAATTAACAAGTCTTCAATAGCGTATCATAGCGCTGGACTTTTAACCATAATTTTGATTTTGGGTCTGCAAAAAAATCATCCAAAAGGCTTCTCCATAGGCGAATTGGGATTTTCTTGAGGCTTTTCACATTCACAAAGATTTAAAAAGTTTAGTTAATGATTTGAAGTCCAATCCAGTCCTTCCTAATGCCTTTAAAATTCTACTGTCTTAATTCAGTTATTTTGCCGATAGATGGCGTTACCTCCTCGCACTTGGTACTACCAGAGGGTATAAAAATCCGTTCAGATGGTTGCTTTCCATTATTTGAAGTTCAGATTTGGCGTAAGTGCGATTTGCCCCTCGCTCCCTATTTTAACTTCGCTAATATTTCTTTATGCTTGCATCAGACAGCCTGGCTCAGTAAAAGTAGGCGGCCAGTGCAACTCTGATTAAAAATCTAGTTATAACCACATGCAGTGCTGATAAGCACCACGTGTTTCTGTGATTCCTATTTTCTTCTTTCTATGTATTTCTTTCTCCTGATGAGGAGGGACCTTTAGCTGCCCTCGAAATCGATTGAGTGTTTCATTACACCTACGCTAAATATAAGGTTGTTTTTTACGGTTTTGATTCTCTCTCATTATATCAACAACAATAGCAGGCAGTTTTTAGCGATTTTCATCTTTCTAATTAAATGCTCGTAAAAGCTCAAGTTCCATCTAATATTTCATCTATATTTAATTTAAGTTGATTAAATGCGGCAAAAAAGTGGATCATAATTGATCAGAAATCAATAACGCGAGCAAACACACTAACAGAGATTCTTCTTTATATAGAGAGATTTTGTAAAACTTACAAATTTTTATTAACAAACTCTACAGTTTGAAAGCGAGCAGTAGCGGCACTTTTCAAAATAAATCATTTTTATCTCCAACGCGAGAGACTGTTGCCACTAGGAAAAATGAGGACAAAAATAAGCTAAGCGTTGTCAGAGTTTTTAATTAATACCTCTGATTTTTAGCTTTTTTTTATTATTTATTTATTTATTTAGGACCAGAAAAGACCCAGAAATTTATTCAGGACCCAGAAAAGAATTATAGAAAGCTTGGTGACGATAGGTATTGGAGTGACTGACTTATTCGCGAACAAGCAAGCACATAAACAGACATTACAGACATTCTTCTTTATATATATGTATATGTACATTCCTCAAAAGTGAAATTGCAACACCAAGAAAGAATACGCGTAGCGTCATTCAAATTGCAGGAGCGAGAGTTGTGAGGTGGATATGCAAGTGATAAAAGTTGCGCGCGCACTGGATCACGTAGAACGCATATACGGGATATAAAACTATACCACTTTCGCTTCTCATAAACAGTATCTGAGGGTTTATGGAGCCTGGGAGACTTTAGAAGAAGCATAGAAAATGTCTCTGAGACGTCGGGCGAGCTCAATCGACTCAATACCATCAGTTAACGACCAGGAAATGTGACCATATTATCGAACTCCATGAGCTTGGTTTGTCACTGGGCACAATAGCAACCCGTGTTGGGCACAATGTGAGTACCATCCAATGTTGTGTCACATAATAAGTTCAGAAAGGTGTGCGTGCACGTCGCAGAGAAAGTGATGCGCACGTCACGTGACATCCGAAGCCGGTTGCCTCCAGGAGCAGATGGATCTGTGTTCATGCAAACTATTCGCAACAGATTGCCTGAAGTACACTTAAGTTCACGGATACCAGCCACAAAAGTACCATTGACTGCTGAACACAAGACTAACGCCTGGTGTGGTGTCAGTGCCCCATAATATATATATATATATATATAATAATTTCACTCATTTTTTACCACTACTTATTTTTAGAATAATTATAAATTGTATTCAAAATTCTCAAAAAAATTTCAAAAACATAAAACTTTCTTAATATCCTTCCCTATGAATATTTAAATAGCTTAAAATTAATTATTAATTTGCTCACACATAATTATGAAAATTAGAAAAATTAATGAACAAGATTTCAGATTTTCTCAAAACAAATTGCAGAAATTTTAACCAAAGTTGAAATGAAAACTGTAGAATCCGAAGCACATTAAATAATTTAGTTCCTGAGCTAGATTACACGAATGTAATAATTTTGAGCTGTTGAAAAAGCGGAAGTGCAAATAATTTTTGTCGCACATACTTGCAAACACTAACTCAGATCGACCTTCAACCCGCTGTAATGCTTAATTCCTAAACGGTAATTCACTGATGATTTCCTTTTCACTAGGCATTCAAACTTCTCAATTTATCGAGATATAAACACTAGGCGTGATTATTTTTTTGAAGCACTTGCAAAACACCACAGCAGAAGAATGATCTGTTATTTTTTAAACACTGAAAAAACAAACTTGATGATTCACTTAAATTTTCCATTGAGGTTTCAGGCTGCAGGAAACTATCCTTACCGGCTTAATTGTCATAATAAATGCACAAAGGAAAAACGGAACACTGTCGATGCGTGCTTAGATCCATATTGAAGAAGCATTTTGATTGCGTAGTATTTAAAGAACTTGGCAGTCGAAGCAGTTTTAATTCCATTTTTATTTCCAACTGATATTTGTGGCCACAATCACTTGGCACTCTAGTCGTGCCTTTCCACAGAAGATTTACATTTTTGATATTGTTGAGATAGAAAGCAAGCCGCGAATTACATCTAGCAAGAGCAGCGGGCAAAACTGAAGTGCGTAGTTTGCAAGATGGAAGCCGCGAAGAGAAAAGTTTTGGTTTACAAGGGTCGTTTCAGTTACTTAATTATTACGTCATCAGAGTGCGCGGGCCCATTAGAGTGATCTTAGAAATGAAGCAATGCAGGAAGTATTACGATTTTAGAATAAAGAGGAAGAATTAATGTTTTTAGTTATTCTGATTCATATAATTTTATCTTACATATATATACTCGAATCCGTAAACGATACTGCTGTAATCCTTCTCTAATAACGATGTAAAATACACGATTCAGAATTCTTAACTAGCGGAAATACCCGATGCCAGTTAAGTTAGATTGAGAGTTGTGAGGTGGATGCCATCGAATGACAAAACCCGATGCCATCGAATGGCATCGGGTTTTGTTCACGAATGAATCTCGTTTCTGTCTCTGGAGGAGTGCCGGCCGTCGACCGGGTGACCCGGAGATGGCGGCTACCCGGAGAACGCTACGAAACAGCCGATTTTGTCGAGCTTCATACCGGTCCTGCACCGGGCATTATGGTTCGGGATGGCATAATGTTTGATCACAAGATGCCCCTGGTACACATTAACGGCAGTTTAACAGCGTATCGCTACGTCACGCAAGTTGTGGAGCCTGTTGTTCTGCTCTGCTTGCAGGGCGCACCCAACATGGTATTCCCACAAGACAAAGCCAAGACGCATGTCCAACGGCGTACTCTTAACAGCCCGACCGGATCTGATATCCTACCCTGACCGGCAGCCTCTCCAGATTTGAATCCCATCGAACACCTGTGGAAGTCATTGGACGTGACATTTACCGAGGACCACGACCGCAAACCCTGGAGGATCTATGTATAGCAGTTGATGTGGCTTGGCAAAGACTACCTCAGGCAGACATCAATGAACTCATTGATAGCATACTCGCCGCATTGCGGCCTATATCACTGTCCGAGGTGGGCACATTATATACTGAATAAATTGGTTTATAATGATTTTATGTGTCTGTTTTTTAAATCATTTGCATATCCATCTCACAACTCTCGATCCTGCAATTTTCATGACCCTGCGAGCATTCTTTCTTGGTGTTGCAATTTCACTTTTGAGGAGGTCAGATTATTACTAGCACTTAGAGAATTTTCCAAACAATTTGGAGAGGTTAGACTTGGCTTTAGAAAAACCAGAACATATTTTTTCTCCGCAACATTGCGAAGTCCAATACAGCAGTAACGTAGATTAAGAAACCTTTGTTGAATTTTAA